GCAATCCTTCTCGAGGAAGCGTTTTCTTTCGGTCGAGGGCATGATAGGACGAAGATATTGAACAGTACTCGGTGGAAATGACGTGGATCATTTTCTTCTTCCATGCTATCTTTGTCAGCAGTTAGTGAAGTGTCGTTTTCTGCCCCTTGTTGAGGATTGCCCTCAAGCCTCGTTCGTGACTATCTCATCCACATGCCGCAGCTAGGTGTCGCGCTGGTCACGCTTACCTCTCTGAAACTCTTTTATCCGGGTGAGGTATTTACCACTTGAGGTTGATCTGGTCGTCCTGAATATCTGATCTGACCGCGTTACATCCTGGACAGATGTAGATGTGATCTTCTGCCTTGCTATCCTCTTCAACTCTCTGAAACTTCATCGCCATGTTGATCTTCCTCCCAGGTCTTATTGCTTTGTTCCAAGGTAACAACGTGACTTCAGCCCCGTTGACCTCGTCTTCCAACGCGTATCCGCCGCGGAGGACTTTCTGGTGACCCATCCTGTTTTCAAAGCGGTTGCTAATAAGGGATCGTAGGTGCTTTGGTGGTCAATTTCGTCTTTTGATGTTTGAGTGAGACTTACCTTCCAAGATTCTAACCATTCAATCGGCAAAGTCAACACGACGCCCAGGGCGTCTTCGAAGAACAAAGGTCTTTGTGGATTCGACCCAGGCCCACAGAAGAACCTATGACGTGTTTCGTCTTCGCGCTCCTGGACTAGAAGGTGGATTTTGGACTCTATCATGCTCTCAAGCTTCTTTATACACAGTTCGTTCTTTTTTGTCATCTCCGTCAGAGTGTTGCTTGCGTCTCCTTGTCTTATAAGGTAGCCATTCGCAGCATCCACTTTGGTTGCCAAAACGTCTATGCTGGTATGCTGTTCTGAGATCTGTGTGCCCTGTCGGTTGATGTCGAGTAATAATACATCCATTTGTGAAACAACTTCCTGAATTCTGGTTTGCATAGTTGCATTATCGACGTGAGCTGCTTTCCTACAGAACGTCAATGCGAGTCAGCAGTTAGCACATCGGTCTTGTACTCAGGAGTAAGGTATAGGAGGGAATCAAGGTTAACTTAGTATGTATGGCTAGAAGAACAGAAAATAGTTGATTGTACCGAGATAGCTTCTGTCGTAGCACCTCTAGTCGTTCTTTCTCTCGAAACCTATATTCTATCTCTTTCCCGATCGATTTCGTGTTTAAGTGGCGGTGCGGATTCCCAAGTGACAATGCATACTTCGACTGGAAATAATCCAACGCATCTTGCAGATCTGCCATATATTCGTTTGTGACTGACTTGATCAGCGAGTTGATATCTGAAAGTAAATCGGAGTGCTCGAGTTCTTGGTATATGGCAATGACCTAGGTAGAAGCACATTCATCAGTCCCAGAACTTTCGCGCCAGTAAGTGCCGTTGACCAGTTTGGAAGCCAGTCTAGCCAGTGTATTTTTCCCCCTTACATTCTGCAAAACGTGTACAAACTGATCAAGGTCGTTTCGAAGGTTTTGGTAATCTCGTGCACTACCTCGGCTCTCGTTCAGAGCTTTGCCGACCGCAATGCCAATTTGGCATAGCTGGAGAATGTCGCCAAGACTCCCGAAGGTAAAGCCGACAGACATGCCGTGAATACAATAGCTTCGATACACGATCGCCTGGCTACGAAAGAAATGGATGAAACGAACTGCTTTGGCGTGGGAAAGAAAACAAAAGAATCAGGCTCCGAAAGAGACCAGAGTGGTTGGGAGTGTCTGGCGTTTTGAGGCGGCCGCAAGGGCACGGTGAATGGTCCCTCTCTATAGCCCAACTCTGGTCAGACTCATGCTCTTCATGCAGCTATGATTGGCAGAACCTGACGTGGTTGCTCATACCCCAACTGCGCTATCGGGCGATGATTCCCGTTTGCTCAATCTCACCAGCCGCCCAGGTTTCGAAATAAGCCTGCCTACTTACTGAGGTAGTCTCAGGCTGCCTGCCACCTGTGCCTTTCTGATACTTGTGCATATGGCCAATGATCTCATACATCACTCAGTCATCGCATATCATAACTGAGGTAAGGCAAGTATACCCGAGCACGCTTAGCTACCTTGGATTATTCTGCAATTGACGAAATTTGCATTTACAGTATTATACTGCCTACAAATGACGGCTTGGATGTTTCCAAGGCCACTACCTACAATCCAAGCAGAGTGTTCAGGTTAACAACACTAATGCTAACCTGATTCGTGCTGCTAGGAGGCAATCTCCCACCACCAATGATAGCCAACTTGCTACCATCATCAAGCACCGCGAGGGCGCGGGAGTAAGCATTGGGCTGTGGAACAGCATACTCAACCCACGCGCTAGCATCACCCAGAGCCCGGTTGACAAAGATATTCGACTGGCTGCCGCCGCTAAGCACGATGGTACCATTGACGCCACCAACAGGGGACCAGACAACGTAGGGAGAGCTGACAGGGCGGGTGCCGGAGGTGGAGATAAGCGAGATGCTGGGGGCGGCGAGGATGTTGAGCGGGTCGGCGGTGAGGCGGTAGTGGACGCGGCAGCCATCGGTGCCGCAGACCTCGTAGGCGAAGATGAAGTCATCGTTGGGCAGCTTGGCAATGACGGGCATGCCAGGTCGGGCCTCGTAAGCATTGTCGTCGTGGACATCGTCGACGATGGCGCTCCAGGTCTTGAGGTCGGTCGTGGTCTGGTGAGATAGCTTCTGGCCGTACTTCGTGTCGCGCTGGTCGGCGTAGTAGATGATGAGCTCGCCATTGTGGAGCCTGCGAAAGGAAGAATCGGTTAGAAAAGATCACAAGGTATGTTCGTAAAGCGGGAATTAGACTTACAAGAAGTGAGGCTCCCAGACGGGGGTCAGGCCGTTGTTAGGCAGGGCCTCGCCTCCGCTGGCGACACTGCTGAGGAACTCCCAGTTGGCACCGCCATCGGTGCTGACGTAGACATCGATCTTGGTCAAGCTCAGGTCGGTCGGGATGCTGTTACCAGCAAGCAGGATAGTGCCGGCGGGATAGCCAGCGAAAGCCTCCGGGAGCTCGTAGAGGAAGGGCTGGTAGCGCAGACCCCAGCCGTTGACAGTGTCCTGAACACGGCCGATCTCAGCCCAGGTGGCTCCGCCGTCTTGAGAGCGGTAGACGGGGAAGTAGACGATGGGAGGCTCGGGGGAGTAGTTCTCCCAAGTGGCAATCAGGTCGCCCGAGTCCAGCTGGATGGTGCGAGCGTACAGGACGCGGGGGTCGACCCAGCCAGCGTTTGACGGCGGGGAGAAGATGACATTGTTCGAGATGGTTCCGGTAGCTTGACGGGCCTCGACTGGGGTTGGGACGGGGCTCGCGACAGCCTGGTAGGAGAGCAGACTGGCAATACCAGCGACAGCGGCTCCGAGGAACTTCATGGTGTGATTTTCCGAACACTGATGTCGTGAAAAGTTGAAGAGATGATGAGGCCGACGGCGAGGGAGTCAGGTGCCTTGAGGGACGACAGGAGCCGGCATTGCTCGAGCGGCGGGGTATGTTATATACGCCGCCGCCATTGAGCTTCGAGAGAGGGGATACGATGTCAACGCCAAGACAATGTCAACCTGATCATCATCAATAGCTTCGCAAGCTCGGAAGAAAGCTTTCCTTGATTTCGTGACTCGTAAACGAGTGATGAGAATCCACCCCCAAGACGGTAGAGTGGCCGCGTTGGGGTTAGCTGACAGCACATGCAGGTCCGACACCGTGATCATTGGCGCGTATGGTATGTTTTGTTTTCGCAGACAGCAATGTGACCTCATAGAAAAGCCGTCACATCGGTCGAAAGCTCGCCGAGGGTAGTGTTACATTCCCCGCGTCTTAGTTCATTGCCGTTGAGATCTGGGGTTTTGTGTGGGGATATCCCAGCCAAGTTTATGGATGATTGCCGAAGCTTAAAGACGCGCGCCAATGAGGTTGGTTCTTTGGCTCGGATCCGGCCGGGGATCAGCAAAATTGAAAGACTTCACGAGTTCACGTGCAACTGACAGTTTGAGTTCCTGAACTGCAGATTCCAGGGCCTAAGGTTCTATGAAGCAGCTTGGTAGAGACATTCGTCTAAACATGTCTCTTTGGGCCCGATTGGCAATCAGGCCCGCAAATGGCGTAACCTCGCGATGCTGCCCTTGGGATCATGCGATGCCCGTCACACCACAGGAGTGGGTAGGCTCGGACCGGGGTAACAACACTCTTGAGCCGAGGTTTCGGGACAATACAGCGTAGTTGGTTTTGGACAAGTTCGTTTCGGTCAGGCACCAAACATCCGTCAACGCATCGACTATGAATATCCCTGTGGAAATCGCATACCTTGTGTACCTCAGTTGACGGTATTTGGATCTAGCAGCGCATTGCAGATCTTTCGGGCTTACCCGGTCGAATGTTTGATGTAGCCAGTCTCTGCTGCCCTCAAACTATTGTCTTGGCTTTATCCGCAACTTTACGAATGCGCAAGGTGAAGATCACTAGCTTTGGAAGTCAAGGCCAAGACTGGCTCAATGTTCGAACTCTATCTAATCAATCAGGACTTTCCATGGTGTTCCTAGCAGCTAGAGAAAAGCCTCACTCGTATTCGACTTAACTGGTGCAGGAGTACCAATCCAACGCAAAAGTCAACCCTCGACTAGATATTTTCATGCAACTCATATATGAGACAAGTAGGACGCCGAATCCGCTTATCGTACATTCATTCGACACAGGCATTGTGAATTCAGTTGATCAATGTAATCACTGTCTATGAGTATGATATATGTACGATGGTTTCCTCATGTTGGTTACAACATTCATGGGACATAGTCCGCACCGAGTGCTTGGTACCCCTTTCTCACGGGCCAAGCGTGATGGCTCTTCCACTCTTCCAGCACACCAACCAGTGCGGCTCTCTCCCACTGATCGTTGAAATAGTCCCCGTATAGCATGATTCCTATCCCAGCGGTTGTCAGGTTTGGTGGTGCTCTTAGATGATGCATAGCTAGGCCACATAGCTCTAATGTCATCTCGCGGACTTGATGTTCGGCCTCTCGATGTGCTCGCCTGTTGGAGACTTGTCCACTGGAACCCCAAATTTGTCAGCATAATGCTCGAAAAATCATGAAGTTATAAAAGCGTAGTGCAGCTATCTATGTAGGGAGGTAGGGGAGCTTCTGCATACTGTAGGCTAGGATCTTCGGCTAGGAGGATCATCCTTGCCAAGATGAAATGCTGTAGCGCAGTAACTTCTACGTCGGAACCGTACCAGACCAAGGGGAATATTTCGCCTTGAGATCTATCCGCCGGCCTCTGTATTATGGGTATAAACTGTCGCGCACATTCGATCGCAAGGATGCCTTCTTCGACTCTCAGTCTCTCTGGACGACATACGTCAGTGATCGTAATTGATTCAAGCTCGGCCCCAGACGTTTTGGAATCTCCCACAGAAATACAGGTGAAAGACTTACCCCACTCCCCTTCAATCCTGTCTCCCATCTTCCACTTGGCCACCTCCGACATGAACCAAATCAAACGATTAGCAAATGACACTTCACGGCTCTGGTCCGGCCTGGCCGTAATTTGTGGTGATCGCCCCAGCGTGAGCGCAAAGTAAATTTCCTGCCTCACCGCCACCCAGTACACGGCGCTCAAAAGCCCAGACCATCGCGAGGGCGGAGCGGCCCTCAAAATTGCCTTTGTAATGTCGATAAAGTTGGCATTGTTATTCGTATTACCATGACTCGTCCCATTCCCGTCCCCGTTTGCGTTCCCGAAATCTGAGCTCGGCGCGCTCTGGGATTCCTCGGGATCCATCTCCTCAAACTGACGAAGAATGAGCGCTGCGGCGGCCAGGTTCTCGCGATATTCCTCGTCCTGGGTGCTAGAAACCTCATGTAGTGCGGGTATGCAGCGGAGCATATACTCGAAGGCACTCTGCGGCGTCAGGTCGGGGAGGACCTGGCGCTGGTAGACAACGACGCCGCCGCCCCCTGGCTCTGATCGGAACTTGGGATGTCGACATAAATGGCGCGCCGCGACGGCGAAGATGGCGTCACGTAGGGGCTGGCACGAGCGTGCGCGTCTCACAACGACGAGCTGGAAGTGCCTCTCTTCGTCGCAGAGGTCGAACTACACGCGAGCAAAGGTTAACGATTGTACTTTCTTGCGTACTCTTGCAACTGTGTGGCACGTAACCCATTGAGATAGCTCTTCTACGAAGTATCGTAGTAGGCAAGCTTCTTGGATGCCCTCGGATGATTGAGCATTTGATATATTCCCCACGAGATCATGGTCTTGGGTCGTGGTGTGGTAACTTCCGGCGGAAGGAGAAAAGTGGTCGACGCTTTGAGGCACGGCATGAGGACTATGTACTGATACTTCGTCTTCTCTCAACCGCACTCTTCCAGCTGACAAAGCTGTGTTTGACCAGGGAGAAGCCCCTGATGCTCCTGATCCAGCTGGCGAAGCAGGGAAGAAGTGGCCACCATCTTGCGGCATAGGCTCGGTTCTACGACGTTTGGTGGGTGTCGGTATGGGTGGCTGGACGTCTTCGACTCCTCTATCATGGTTCGCGACGGCAGGACCTTCGGAGAGATGACGACCAGTTTCGTGCAAGACGGCGCTCACAGCAACCCGAGTATCTGTTAATGATGTCACATGACTGGCGGGCGATCCACTGCTGATATCCTTCTCCTGAGTCGGTGTAGGAGTGCTATTCGGCGCTCGACTGTCGAATCGGACTTATACGCCAGTCAGAATGTCGAGATCGATGGCATCGCCCCAGGGCAACTCTCTCCAAGGTAGCTAAGACTCACAAGCTCGAGGTCGACTGTTCACCCAGCGCTGCTCCCGGGAGAAGGTCCCGTCATAGTTGGCAGTAGAACCCTGGCGGAAGGAAGGTCGTCGCTCAGGACGGGAGCACTCGACGTTGCGCTTCTCGCATCTACTACAACGGGGCTGCTGGTCATCGCCTGGAGTGTCGAATCATTGTCAGATACCCAGATAGACTTCAGATGAGTTGCCAAAGGTTGTGAACTATGATCATTCCTGACTGAGCATCACAACCCCAGGTTCAACCCCGGAAACACAATATCAGATAACAAAACTCTGTAAAACTTACACTTCTCATGTCGCTCTGTTTTACCCCAGATAAGTTGACGTCAATCCAGCGGGACCCTGGAAAAGGTCGCGAGGGTATGGAGACACGCGCACGTGCGCGCCCGGGCACATACCTTTGCATCTTGCGCATGGTTTCGTGGCGCTTGGCATCTCCCGCGGGGATGAGCGCGGGGCACTGCTGACGCAGATTGACCACGGCTACAGCTTGCTGGTCCTCCAAAGTTGATCTGACAAAGTGACGCCTGCTTGTCGTTGTTGTCGGCCGGTGGGATGGGGATATTATGTCGTTTCCCTTTTCGAACTCAGAAGGGCAAGTCTCGCCTGGTTCGTGGTCCGTGATTGAGTAGCTGTGGGGAGTGGAAATCGTCGGCGGCGGCTAGGATAGGCGGACGAAGAGGAGGAGAATGAAAGAAAGAGGCGGGGGGGCATCGGCGACGCTTGCTAGAAGAAGTAATCTCAGAAGTGTGGAGAAACTTGGCTTCGCCGATGCATCCGTCCGGTCCTGTGAAACGTGGTCGGCGCAAACAGACAACTCAAGTCCATAAAGATGAACGTGCATTAAGCGCCCTCGGTCTTCGGAGAGTACAAAAGACAAATAACCAAAAACATGCGGTGTAACTCTTCATAGAAAATAGGACCAACCGGTTTTATGTGTTTAATCTACCCCGCACCCCCAAGCCCTCTTCCCCCACAAAGTTGCCGCCAACTCTGGGGAGGCGATCTAAATCTGGGGACGAGAGTAATGGATTACCGTATCCGGTAAGAGGCGCCGATGGAGATGCCGAGTTTCGAAGGTGTTGGAGGACTCTACTTACTTTTGCCCGCCGGCGTTGGGATGGCGTTCGGTGTCTTGGGACGAGTCGTTCAGAACGTGTCCATTTGGCTTGCTGGAGACTTTCCTGGACAAACCAAGAAGAGCAAGAGCCGCCGATGTTAAAAGAGACCGTGTTCACCCAAAGCTCCTTGAGGTTGGAAGCTGTGCTGTATTACTGTGATCTCTCTACCTTTATTCATACGTCTACCTTGACGGATTGCGAGAATTGAAACTCAATTGATTCTCCCGAACCCCAAAAACACATCAATCTCAAAACTTTTGCAATCCAAACAAAATGGCCGGAGAAAAGCTCAACGTTGCCGTCGCCGGACTTGGGCGCATGGGTATGTCTCGCCCCTCATTCCACCGAGGGGTAGCTCTCATAGCTACCTCAGTGAAGAAGCAAGCTCTACTATGTGCTCAGCTTGGGCGACTTCAACATGGACTGACCACCACTGAATCACATAGGCTTGAGACACGCGAGACACTTTGCGACCTTGACACCAAAGGCCGACCTCATCGCCGTCAGCTCGCCGGTGCAAGCTGAACTCGATGCCGCCGTCGCAGAGTTTGGTCCTCTGCGGACGTATCTCGACTACGACGAGATGCTGCGGAAGGAATCGACGCTGCAAGCTGTGATCGTCGCCAGCGCCACCACGGTACACGCCGAGCAGGCCATTAAGGCCATCGAGAAGGGCCTACACGTTCTGTGCGAGAAGCCTCTTAGCACCAGCGTCGATATCGTACGTTCATACTTGACATCCACCCTATGCCGCCCCTTGGGAGTAGCAAAGTCAGGAGACTAACTACTATCTCGCACAGTCGCAATCCGTCGTCACAGCGTACGAAAAGTCCCTCATCAAGAACCCCAGCCAAAAGGTCATCTGCGGCTTCTCACGCCGTTTCGATGCATCCTACCGAGATGCTTTCACACGAGTGGCTCGCGGTGACATCGGTGCGCCATCCGTCTTCCGCTCACAAACCTGCGATAAGCTCGACCCCTCCGGCTTCTTCGTTGACTACGCCGAGTTCAGCGGTGGCATCTTTGTCGACTGCTCTATTCACGACATTGACCTCGCGCTTTGGTTCTTCGGTGAGGACAGTGTCGTCAAGAGCGTGTCTGCGATTGGCATCACTGCTGTGCAGGAGGGTCTGAGAAAGCACAATGACAGAGATAACGCCGTTGCTGTTGTTGAGTTCTACGTGAGTTCTCCTGATAATCCTAAACTTTGCGGTAGATGGAAGCTAATCACATACAACTATAGGGTGGAAAGATTGCACAGCTCTTCTGCTCCCGCATGATGGCCGCCGGCCAAGAAGACACGACGGAAATCTTTGGCACAAGCGGCAAGGTCGCCGTCAACACACAGCCCCAGCTGAACCTCGTCAACCTCTACGAGCCCACGGGTATCCGCCGCGAGATCCCTCCCGACTACTACGGCCGCTTCCGTGAGGCCTTCATCACCGAAGCCAACGAGTTCACCGCGTGCTGTTTGAACAACACCGAGCCTCCCATGAAGCTCGCCGGTGCCGTCAACGCCGTCAAGATTGGTTGCGCGCTGCAGGAGAGTTTGATCACTGGCAAGAAGATTGATTTCGATGAGTCAGGCAAGCGCATTGATAGTGCTAAGAGTGCTAAGTTGTAAAGAGCGAGAGGAAGTAAACTAAGCATAGAAATGCGCGTTTATGTAGTAGATGGGAACGTAGATGCGTTCATGGTTGGTGACGACATTAGAGCTACTTTACCTTGATGAATTGACGATGTTTCAAACCCTTGCAAGTTCATAGTCGCGGGGGGGTCATGTGCTCGAATTAGACACGTTCGATAGTAAGAACAACGTGGTACTTCGTCATTATCTCGCCCTTGTCGTGATATCGGGCGGGTTCCGTGGTCACGGGGCCGGTGGGCTGACATTTGACTCGGGTTCGGTCTACTTCTTTGGTCTTCACGCGTGTTCTAATCGCAGTATCGCAATCCACAATCGAATGCGCCTTGGTCAATGAATGACGTACTTCCAGATTCCCCTGTCAGTAAGCAAACAACTGTCAATCGGTGAGAGCCCAGGCTCTCAGCTGGTTGGCGTCTGACCGAATGATCCATCTTCAAAGCCCCGGTCGACCCCATCATCGCACACGTCTACCAATTGTAACTCGAACAAATTGTCTACTCATGATTTCACGTTGGAAAGCCTTCGAAATCGAAAGCAACAGATCGGGAAATTACTTATTCGGGAGCGAGCGGGATCGGAGTAGGGATTGTCCTTGGCACCCGCGTGCCTGAAATTCCCTGATTTGTAGTTGGTGGTGTCTGACACCGCCGCATTGGATAGAAACCCGCGGGATTCTCCAATTGGGCAACTCATCCCTAGCAAAACTCACGTTTGGTTGATCTTTGTCGGAAGTTGACCAAGGCGCCTTGTGGAATCTTCCCAGCGCATTCAGAACCCATAGAGATGCTGGGGGATGAACCCTTCCTTAAGAGTTCCCGTTGGTATGCGTGTCGTCGGAAATCGAATCCCGCGGGTTGTGTAGTCCGTATGGGTGATCACCTTCTCCAAGGGCCTAGAGCAGAAACGATGAACCCCAAGGATGTAACCCCGGGGGGCAAGAGGCTCCGGATTCTCTCGACGGGCGCGGGATTGTATCCCGACTGACCCCGGCCCTAGCAAAACCACATTTGGCAAGATGGGGCCCATGTCGTCATAGCAGGTTGATTAAGGATTAACAAAGGCTTCAATCCAGTTTCCCTCATCTTGACAACAAGTCCATAACATTGGTTGGTGCTCGGCGGACCATTATTGATCCCCCTTGGCAAAGTCTCATCAACTCAGCGCCCGATTCCCCGACTCCAGCCAACCAAACACCCTTGTCCAGGCTCCTTTTGTGTCTCAGAAAGTCAGAATAGAGCACTATACTAAGAATGGACATTAGCGTCGCGGGGCGGCTGAGGGGGGCAGGCAAGGCCTCATCGCCGACGGGTTCCTGAAAAGGAAAACCTTCGGCCAAAAGACCGCTGTCATGACGCCCAGCCGCAGCCCCCAGGCAGTCCAAGCCCAAGCCTGACCAATGAGATATTCCCTGTCTTTGATGATGGTCTTGGTCCTGACTCTCTGCCCACTGTTTGCCTTCTTTGCTCACCACGTTCAGACCGAAGCCTCGAGGGCGCGCGAGTCACCCACACCACCCACCGTTACCCTCCTCTCCATGCCCTTCGCCGAAAAAGGCTTCGAAGGTTTGCACAACATGGAGGGAGACTCCACCTTTCCCCGTGGGGGAGAGATGCAACCTGAGGGCCGTGTGTTCCACTCTGCCGGTGGAGAGCGTTAATGCTGCCCGCAGCCTGTCATCGCCGGGAAATTGACAGATAGTCCTGGCACGAACCCTCGACGCCCTCAGTCACTCACACAACATTGCAGACGCCCCCCTAGTCTGTAAACGGATGGGGGTTCCCCAGAAATCCGGTTCTTGTCGTGTCCCGGTCTAATACTGCGCTACCCGTTGGTAGTCCATCTACCTAGTCCTCAACACCAAGCCCCCCAGAAACGTATTTAGTATATAAGAGCCT